CCTCCCGAAATTTATGGATCCATTAAATTTTGCTGTTTATACAGTCTTCAAACTCTTGGGATTTGGACATGAAAATATCGGGGCGTGGAGTATTTCCAACTTCGACCACTTTTTAGGAGAAAAAGTACTTCCGAATGTCCAGCATGACTCTATTCACACGTTATTTAAGAAGATAATCTCTCAAGTTCGTTGTTGGGAGCCTACGGGCGGTCCTGAGGTCACCCCCTGCGTTCGCGCGTTTTCTTATTTATCAAGCTGTATGCCGCCGCTTGCGCGTTCATGGTCAGTTCGCTACCGCTAGCGTGACTCATGGTAGCCGCGAGGCCTGCCCGCCTAATCAGCTTGACTCATTTCCGGATTGGTTGCGGGGGGGGGGTCAGGGGTTCCCCGCACACAGCGCAGAGGTGCAGAACATAGAACACGACAAAAATTGCTTGGTCGACTGTGAGCCGCTCCTTTCTGTGGAGCTTTTTCTTAGCTCCTTTTCATACAGTATACCGTCCTACCTAATTGGTTTAACTGACCTTTGAGTTGGGAAAGCTTGTGTAAACGGCTATTATTTCTTTCGACACTGGTGACTCGCTCCGAACACGTTCTTCTTCAGCTACTGATTATGGACAGTTTTCCAGCACACGTTCAGTGCATTTGAGAGCGTGTCTCTGACTGTTTTAGTGCCGTAACTCCCTCTCGATTCACCAAAGGGCTGACTCAGAATTATGGCTTTGCCAAAAAAAAACAAACTGCCGCAATGCCTACTCCTCCAGTCGTTTCTGAGTCTCCACTCGCAGATCTGAAGGTTACGATTGCGCAACTTACAGCGCAGGTAACTTATAGTCAACAGCGAGCAAACTTTTCATCTGAGAGCCCACAGAGGTCATCTACCCGGCATTTCCAGTCCACTTTATCTGGCCCCATCTCACCCACCGTCTGCCGTTATCACACCAGCTTCGGTGTTAAAGCCCGTCGGTGCATCTCTCCTTGCTCCTTCATTTTCACTCGAAGCAAACGGGTAAAACCAGTCCATGCGGAGGTTGATTCTACCAATCTTCTTGACGTTTCTAAACCCAGTCGCACCTTTTACGTCTACGACAGCAAAAGTGGCAGACGCTTCTTAGCTGACATGGGTGCTCAACTTAGTCTCTTTCCTTCTTCAACAGCTGACCGTCGGTCTTCTAACCCTAGTGTATTTCTGCATGCCGTCAACACCTCGCCTATTGCCACTTTCGGTACTTGTTCCCTCTCGTTAGACATCGGTTTACGACGTCTCTTCCCTTGAGCGTCTGCAATTGCTGACGTGCCCTGTGCCATACGTAGTGCAGACGTTTTCGCCGCTTTTGGTCTTATTGCCGACTGCTGCCATTCCCGTTTACTTGGCAAGAATACGAAGCTGAATATCCCAGGTATTCCTTCATCTGAAGTGTCCCGAAAACTCGCCGTCTTGGACCCTGATCCTGATAGTCCATTGCGCCAACTTATTGCGAGATATCCTGGTGAGAAGAAGAAGACTCGATCGCTGGGACAATATGTTAATTCGCCTGACGTTTCGATATCCGTCGCGGATTCGTCATCAGAGACATGAGTGGTCTCATTCATCCCACCTTCAGTGTTTCTACGCCAATGCACGATGCTGTGCATCACATACGGACTACTTGCCCTCGGCGTCTCACGCCTGCACTACTAACTGTAGCCAAGGCCGAGTTCGATCATGTGCTCCAGATGGGCATCGTTCGTCAATCTGAAAGCCCGTGGGCTCCCCTTTTTCAGATGGGCTCTAAAGCTGACTCTGGTTACTGGCGTCCCTGAAGTGATAT